AATAAAACACAGAGCATTGAATTCTTACCTTAAGTAGTTTCTGGATTGTATCAAAACTTTGGAGTGCAAGCTATGGAAATCAACAAAAGAAAATGAGTTCTGACAAAGTCTCTCTGGACTAAAAAAATGGATTACAAATCCCTATGGCTCAAAAATCTGTAAATTAATCTAGTTATGTATATCAGAATTCTAAATGCATCATTAGTTTTTCTTTTAGAAGCTGCTTATTAATTATTTCTCTTGAACAATCTCTCTTTTACTGTATTTTGACCTGTTCAAAAACCTCTCTACTGGCTCAGCTCCACGAGCCAGCTCTCAAGACAAGGGAGACTTCTGCTGGCTTCTGTGAATGCCCTGGGGAGAAACCAAGCTACAGAAGGCACACAAGATTTTGCTCCAGAGGAAGAATAAAAGGGGAAATTATAGAATTTCTGGGAAAAAAATCACCACGAAAAGGAAACACATAGGTCAATTCTCTTCTGGCAGCTCTCACTGTTCCTCACCTGACCCATGGAGTGATTGTGCCACTGGATCTTTCTGCATTTCTTTCCTCAAGGAAGGTTATTGCTTCCATGACAAAGTAATACCAATTGTAATCACAAATTATCTTCCTAAGTACTCTCAATGGCAGTCCTTTAAATGAGTTTCCTCCATGCTTAGTATTCACATAGCATCCTAAAGAGGCAGTAAGTTGTTGCTGTAAAAATTTGAATAGCTTCAGAGCCTTCTCCTTTCAGGTAACAGAGATATTGCACTGCAAGCTGCATAAAATATTGGACCCTAAATGAGATACCTGCAATCAATTCTCCACATTGAAGTTATTATCACTTGACATACCAAACAAAAATTAAAAAGGTTGATAACCTTTTCTGACACTGCCTTTGCAGTTGCAAATAATATAAATTAAATAGAAGGGTTCAGTGGAGAAACCAACTCTTGGAGGCCTCAGCATTCACTTATGCATTTGAATAAATAGCTTTAAAAAGGAAACATTTGTATAAAACTACACATTTGCAAAGCTGAATTCATTGGTTTTACTCATTCCCCCTGAAGGAGCGAGGCATGAGGCCTGCACTGAGCCAGAGAAGTTCTGCAGCCTCCACAAAGATTTCCAACTGCAGGAGGAGACCTGAGAAACTTCTCTTACTCTGGTTGGCACCGAACAAAAATGACAACACTTTTTGTGAGGGCAAGGTCTGAGCAAAAGGACTGACAGGGTTTTCTGATGTGGAGAACTCTGGTGGGCCCATACCTACATCCCAAAAATCAGTGCTCAGAAAGACTGAGAAAGGAAAAGCCACCTACCTCCCTGGTTGGGACCAGCACGAGCGCATAGGGGCCATCACTGCGCTGCAAACACAAGAGCAGGGCTCTGAGAGAAGGCAGCACTGAGCAGAGCCCTCCAACACCTCCCTGCTCTCAGCCAGCACAGAGGGCTCTGAAGGGCTTCAGTGCAAGTTTGTACACGACATTTTAGGGTATTTCTGCCCCATAGCTTTTAAAAAATCAAGCTTTTCTTCTCCCTACTGGGAAAACTGCTCACAGTCAAAGCCAATGTTTTATTGCACACACATGTTGTTTCAGTGCTGTGCTCCTGAGCTGCAGGGATGCACAGCAACAAGCTGTAGGTAGGAGTGACAATTCAGGATGGGCTGGAAATGCTTCAACCCTTCAGTCAGGATGATCTCTTTCCATAAAATCCACAAGATCTGCAGCAGCATTTTCTGGTGTATAATCCAAACTCCAATCCCACTCCATGCCAAAGATTACCTAAAGACATGGCAGTAACCTTTGTTTTCAGTTCTCCCAGCTCCCAGACCATTTCTTCTGCTCTCTACCTTCTCCACACCTGATAATTTAGCCCATTTCCAATTTATCCTGCAGCATGAAGCAATGGGGAATTGCTAACATTGATCTTGTACCATCCACACCTCAACAGAACTGGAAAATCCCACCTGTCACATGTGCAAATAAAGGGAAACATGGATTGCTTGTATGAAAAAGAGACAGTAAGGACTACAGGAGCTGGAATTTATTTTTATTAATCTTAGTATCAGAAGCAATTTTTTTTTAGTGCTGTTGGACCTACCTGTATTTTGGATTCCATTCCTTGCAAAGACTGCACAAGTGGAATCCCATAGGCAAGAGTTTTACCTTTTTGAAAGGGAGAAAATAAGAAAATTTTCCATTAAAAAAATATATGTGGCAATTATAACACTCCATCAAACCAAAGCACCATTTGTCCCACCATTCTTAAACTGCAGAATCTGGAAAAGTTTCTATTAAGTAGGAAGTTTCCAGAATAGAATATTAACAGGCAAGTAATTAGAAAAGAGGTGGTGGTATCCCATGAAGATCTACCTAAATAAATGCAATTAACACACCCTAAGGAAGGACAGAGACTGTTCAACACTGACCTGAGCCAGTCTGAGATCTCACCAGGGCATCTCTGCCTTGCAGGAGCACAGGAATCGTTTGCTTCTGAACACTGGTGACAAACAAAGCAGGGCAGGAAATGCAGATGCAACACAGGGTGGAATTCCAAGATTTTAACACACAGTGACTGTCTCAAAATTCTTTACCCCAAATTCCTCATGCTCATCTTTGCTGTGCAGCAAAGATTTCTAAGCAAAGCTGCTGCATAGGCATCAGATGTGATAAATTCAAACCAGATGGGTTCATGATTCAAGTACCAAACTATAAGGCAGGAGTCCCTGCAAACCCAATAGCAAATAAGACAGTGATACTGTGGTCTTCACAAACCCTTTAAATATAATGAAATAATCACAGGTGATTGGCTTTTTGGGGCAAACTGCAAAGTTTTGATATTGATTTGCTTACCTGGTCATGCTACATATGTTTAGGACAGTGTTTATTGTGGAGATCTAGAGAGATAATAAAGAGAAATAAAGGTTTCATTGTCAAACTGTTCCTTTTGTTACTTTTTCTACTGCTAAGACAGAAGAAAACCCAGAAGACTGACATTTATTCTCTGCATGACTGGTCCATAAAGCTCCCATGTCCTCAAAACACTCTTTAGTTAATTAAAATTACACCATTGTTGGTTTTCTGTGGTTTTTTGGTACTAGAGCTGCAAACAGTGAACAGGACTAGGACTGTGTCTGGGGACAGGTCAGGACACGGACCAACACCCTGAGTGACAAAATCAGGTGACATATCCAGGTCACCAGGAATAAAGGCTCTCTGACCTGCCCCCCCACCCAAAACCCCACGTTTTTGGGCATGCAGCCCTCCTGCCACTCACCAGATGTGGGTGGAGGTCCAGCTGGCTGAAGGAATCAGTTGTGAAAACATTTTCTTGCAATTGCCGCACTTCTTTTCTGAGTTAGGGAAACAAAAACAAACCATGTAGTAGGGTTAAACGTGATACAACAGCATTCTACATAATCAGCAATGAAACTTCATCTACCAAGCAACTGCTCTGCTAAGCAAGGGCAAGAATTCAAGACACTGAATTTCAAGGCATTGCAAAAGGTTTTTTCCTTCCCATTTATCTAAAATACCTGTGAATTTCTGGGATGTCTGGGTTGTTTTTAAACAAGCTGGATGTCTTGATGAAAGGTTTGGTCTTCTGGCTTTCATTCTGTTTGTCAGTCAGATGCTTCTTAGGAAGACTTTTTTGTGATGAGCTTCCCTCCTCCCTCCTGTCAGCAATGGCACCCTTCCTGAAGGTGTTTACAGATAATTTACGTTTGCGTTTCACGGGTGGGTTTCCATGTGGTGACTGGAGCTTCCTTTTCAGAGCACCAGACTGCTTTAAAGTGAAACAAACCGGTCAGCATCGACACACAAACATCAGCCCACAGCAGAGCCTTATTTTTGGAATTCCCCATTCCATAACTAAAGAATCAAAGTCGGTTTCTGCAGCTACACAACTCCTACTCCAACAGATCCACCACCGCCCCTGAGACTTCTGACACTGCTGAAATGCCAACAGCAACTTGAAGCCGTATCTAATGCTCATCCCTAGAGCATTTCATTCAACTTCTGCAGTGACTGGGCAGAACACGCTTTACAAATCTCTCCCAAAAGCACTTTAAAGTCCCTGCAGACGAAGCAGAGGGCTGGGAGAGCATCGCCCATAGCCCGTCAAAGGAACGCGGCGAGTTAGAGCAGCCCGCCCGCTCCGGTGGCTCGGATGTGCCCGACCGCCGCCCGGGGAGCCACCTGCGAGCCCCGGGGCAGGATCAGCCCCGGTCGGACTGGGGAGAAGCCAAAAGCTCCATTTAACAACTTTTCCGGATGCTGCCTTCCCGCCCGGTCACGGTCCCCTGTCCCGCAGGGTCCCGTGTCCCGTAGGGTCCCATATCCCGTGTCCCGTAGGGTCCCATATCCCGTGTCCCCTGTCCCGCAGGGTCCCGTGTCCCGCAGGGTCCCATATCCCGTGTCCCGTGTCCCGCAGGGTCCCGTGTCCCGTAGGGTCCCATATCCCGTGTCCCTTGTCCCGCAGGGTCCCGTGTCCCGCAGGGTCCCATATCCCGTGTCCCGCAGCCTCCCCGCCCAGTCACGGTCCCGTGTCCCGCAGGGTCCGGTATTCCTTATCCCGTGCCCCGTGTCCCGCAGGGTCCCGTGTCCCGTATCCCCTGTCCCGTAGGGTCCCGTGTTCCACATCCCGCGTCCCGCAGACCCCGCACTCCTCCTTCCCCTCCCTTCTCTCCGCTCGTACCCCGCCGAGGCCGCGCATCCCCACGCCCGCCGCCATGTCCCGCCCGCTCCTCCGCAGGACCCCGGGGCCGCCTCCCACCCGGCCCGGCCCGTGAGAGCGGCGCGGCGGCGAGCGCGGAGCCTGCCCCCGTGAGAGCGGAGCTCACCCCTCTCCCCGCCCTCTCCGCAGCGCTGCGGCGGCTCCCTGAGGGCTCTCCCCGTCCCGCAAGCCGCGCTCCCGGGCCCGCGGGGCGCGCAGGCGGCGGCGGGGCAGCCCCGGCCGGGCCCGCCGGGGGCTTCGGCGGCGGCGCGTGCGCGCGGCCCGTGAGGCGGCGGCGACATGGCGGCGGCGGCGGCGGCGGGGCGGGAGGAGCCGCCGCTGGGGATCGAGGCGGTGGCGGAGGAGGCAGCGGCAGCGGCGGCGGCGAGCGCCGGGTTCCGGCTTACGGCGGTGCGGAGAGAGCCGGCGGTGCGGCTGCAGCACGGCGCCAGCGGGCTGGAGCCGCTGGCCTGGTCCGAAGACCACCGGGTGTCGGTGAGCACGGCCCGCAGCATCGCCGTGCTGGAGCAGCTCAGCGACGTGCACAGCGGCGGGCAGGACATGGTGATCCACCGCACCGCCGTGCCCGCGCCCGGCACCGCCTGCACGCTCAAGGTGAGCGGCTGGGCTCGTCGGTGTGTGTCAGTGTCTAACGGGAGAGGTTCGGGTTGGACAGCGGGAGGGATTTCCTCACGGGAAGGGTGGTCAGAGTTGGGATGGGCTGCCCAGGGAGGTGGTGGAGCCGCCTTGGAGGTGTTCAAGGAACGCCTGGACGTGGCTCTCAGAGCTCTGGGCTGGGTGACAAGGTGGGGATCGATCACTGGCTGGACTCGATCTCAGAGGCTTTTCCAACTTTAATGATTCTGTGGTTTTTTACTTTGATGCCAGCCAATAAGACAAGACAAACGGGCATAAGCTGATAGACACAGAGCTGCACCTGAACACGAGGAGAACTTTCCAGTGCAGAATCCACAGATTTGCACTGGAGCCTCTGGAGTCCAGAGTCTCCCACACTGTTGTCCCTTCCAGCCTGACCCATCCCAGGATTCTGATTCTCCTCTCTGGGAGCTGCCCCTCTCCTCTCCATAAGTTGCTGCAGGCTCTCATTTTAAAAGTACAGGAGAGAGAAAACCGTATCCCAGTGATGTCGAGGGATTCTGAAGTTCTGCAGTTTTTCTGAAAAGCAGTTGAGCTCCAGTACAGTTATTTCCATGCAATTTTAAGTAGGAATCTTAATTTGTTTTGCCACATAAGCTGAAGGATTTTTGTAGCAGAGATTTCTCTGGCCTTCAGGGGAACATCTGATTTTCTACGAAGATGGCAGACGTAGGTGAATATCTTATTAAATAATACTTTTGTTGTTGTGAATCTGATTTTATTTTCCAAAACAATGCTGAGACTATGGAATGGAGTTGAGATACTGAGTATTTATATATTATGCCATGTATTTTTAAAAGAGCAAAAGTATGAAAACAGGCTCTTTGATTTAGCAGACAAAAACTCACTAGCTGAGAGTCAAAACGATGCAAATTCAGGGCATTAATGAAGCTGAAGTCTTTAGGAGTGACATCAATTAACCAGTCTGGGAGGTACATGGAGATTGTCCCTGGAGCTGTGGCAAGTCACTAGTTTGTCACAGAAAAAAGCTGTGCCTAACAGGTTTTGTGTGCTAGTTTGGGTAAATGGTCATGGCCTTAAGGATACCCTGGTTCTTCCCTGTGCAGTAGGGCCTCAAGCTTTCCAACTTGTGATTGGGGATGCTGTGTTTGAAGAGAGGATTAATTCCAGGAAAGTCTTCCTAACAAAAACCAGCTGTACAAGGGTTTTAAAGGTTCTTTTTGTTCTCTTTTAGGTTGGCCCCAAGAAGGAGGTGGCTGAGTGTAAGGAGAAATTTGCCAGCTCAGTGGATCCCACTGTCAGCCAGACGTTTATGCTGGACCGAGTGTTCAACCCCGAGGGGAAGTCCCTGACACCCATGCGGGGCTTCAAATATTCCAGCTGGTCCCCTCTGGGCTGTGACGCCAACGGGAGGTGCCTGCTGGCAGCCCTGACCATGGACAACCGCCTGACCATCCACGCCAACCTCAACCGGCTGCAGTGGGTGCAGCTGGTGGACCTGACCGAGCTGTACGGCGAGCGCCTGTTCGAGGCCAGCTACAGACTGTGTAAGGCTGACGCTCCCTGCGGGGAGCTGGGAGACTTCCCGGAGTTCCAGCGGCGGCACAGCATGCAGGCCCCGGTGCGCATGGAGTGGTCGGGCATCTGCACCACCCAGCAGGTCAAGCACAACAACGAGTGCCGCGACGTGGGCAGCGTGCTCCTGGCCGTGCTCTTCGAGAACGGCAACATCGCCGTCTGGCAGTTCCAGCTGCCCTTTCTGGGGAAGGAATCCATCACTTCCTGCAATACCATCGAGTCGGGAATAAGCTCTCCCAGCGTGTTGTCCTGGTGGGAGTACGAGCACAACAACCGGAAGATGAGCGGGCTGATCGTGGGCAGCGCGTACGGCCCGGTGAAGATCATCCCTGTCAACCTCAAGGCGGTCAAAGGCTACTTCACGCTGAGACAGCCCGTGGTCTTGTGGCAGGAGATGGACCAGCTGCCCGTGCACAGCATCAAATGCATCCCTCTCTACCACCCCTACCAGAAATGCAGCTGCAGCCTGGTGGTGGCTGCAAGAGGTCCTTACGTGTTCTGGTGCCTCCTGCTGATATCCAAAGCGGGGCTGAACGTCCACAATTCCCACGTCACAGGGCTGCACTCCTTGCCCATTGTCTCCATGACTGCAGACAAGCAGAACGGCACGGTGTATACCTGCTCCAGCGATGGCAAGGTCAGGCAGCTCATCCCCATATTCACAGACGTTGCTTTAAAGTTTGAGCACCAGGTGATAAAGCTCTCGGAGGTGTTTGGCTGTGTCAGAACTCACGGAATCGCCGTCAGCCCGTGTGGGGCGTACCTGGCGGTCATCACCACCGAGGGCATGGCCAACGGGCTGCACCCGGTCAACAAAAACTACCAAGTTCAGTTTGTCACCCTCAAGACTTTTGAGGAGGCAGCTGCACAGCTCTTGGAATCTTCTGTTCAGAACCTTTTCCGGCAAGTGGACTTGACCGATCTCGTACGTTGGAAAATCTTGAAGGATAAGCACATCCCTCAGTTCTTACAGGAAGCACTGGATAAAAAGATAGAGAGCTGCGGTTCCACTTACTTCTGGAGGTTTAAGTTGTTTCTCTTGAGGATTTTGTACCAGGCGATGCAGAAAGCCCCCTCAGAGGTCACGTGGAGACCTTCACACGAGGATGCCAAAATCTTGATATCAGATTCCCCTGGGATGGGCAGCACTGAAGATGATCAAGAGGAAGGAACTTCGAAACAAGCCAGCAAGCAGAGCCTGAGGGACACAGGCAAAGGTGTGGACATTGATGACACTGCAGATGACTCTCTCCATCAGTCAGGTGACACTGGAGGCCGTGAGCCAATGGTAGAAAAGCTTCTTGAAATACAGGCACAGATTGAGGCCGTAGAAATGCACTTGACCCGAGAACACATGAAACGGGTGTTGGGAGAAGTTTACCTGCACACGTGGATTACAGAGAACACCAGCATTCCCACCAGAGGAGTCTGTGACTTCTTAATGTCTGACGATGGCTACGATGACAGAACAGCACGAGTAAGTGGCACGTCTGCTCGGGGGATTCTGTGTCACTGTCACCTCCTTGTCCCCGCTCCTGAAAATACACATGGGCTGGGAAAGAGAGCTGTGGTCATGCCATCCTTGCCAGTCAGATTCTGCAAAGCATTCAGCTTAAATTGTCCTTTCTTGATATTGTGAAATAGGAGGGAATGTAAATACAGATGTTGAAATTTGGATCAGGTACAATAAAGATGCCTGAGTTTTTGCAGAACAGGAGAGAGGACTGGAGTTACTGTGCTGCTGTCAGTGGGTTTAGAACATGAACTCATTGAGGGATTTGTTTTCATTACTGAGTTTATTAAATCCACCATCCTAACACAAGTCAACTTCAGATTTCTTTCCTCTAGTCAATCACACTGTGGTTCTAATGTTAAGAGCTGGTGTAGTGTGGTGTTCTCCCTGCTGGCATCACAGCCAAGTGTGGCCACCAGTGACTCACTAGGAAAGTGCTCTGGCACAACTGCTGGGTTGTTCTGGCATCCAATTACTGTGAATTGAAAGTTTGAGAGGTTGCTTTTCTTACCTTAGAAGAATCTTGTTTCTTTTTTTATAGTGGTGAAAAGTGACTTCTAAATTGTATTTTATCTATTCAGTTTGCTGTCACTCTTTAAAGGTCCCTGGGATGTGGTTTATAGCCATTGAAATGTCACAGACAAATTTGATCACATAAATGTTCTGCTATAAACATTGTACTCCCAGATGACTGCTGAAGACATCCAGGTAATTTCTGAACAGGAGTTTTTTTTTTGTGATAGGCATGAGGGAAAGCATTGCTGTTGTGGTCAGTGGTGTGATATCAGCTCTTTCAGCACTTTTAAAATTTGCAAGGAATTACTGTTTTTAAGGTCTGTATCCCTTTAGTGTGGGACAGAAATCTTTAGAACAAAAGGAGAATAAATGAATACTTACTGACAGATTGTACTTCTTACACTTGGGTTTTTTGGGATTCAGCTTATTCTGTGTCACTCTGAAATCCCAGTGAGGTGTTCCCACCCTGGGCTGTGTCATGGAGTGCCTCCTGTGTGTTCCAGGTGCTGATTGGGCACATCCTGAAGAAGATGAACAAGCAAACCTTCCCCGAGCACTGCAGTTTGTGCAAGGAGATCCTGCCCTTCACCGACCGCAAGCAGGCAGTCTGCTCCAACGGCCACATTTGGCTCAGGTAAAGGGCTTTTATCCACAGCTTGGCCCCTCTGGATTATTCAAACATACTTCAGGAGCAGCTCATAAACCACCTGTTAGCACTGGAGTGGAAAGACATGAAGCATCTTATCCATGCTGCAGTTTTTTTCTGTCCTCTTCCATAAGAGCCAGGGCACTGGAGGTTGCATTTGGTTCTCTTAGCAGGACAATGTTTTTATAATAAAATGTTTCTGAGCATCTTTTTTTTTTTTTTTGGGAAATAAGGGGTCAGGAAGAAAGCAGGCAAGGGAAAATCGAGGACAAGTCATCCTTTGGAACATCAGTTGAAGGAGGGTTTGTTCAAGCTCTTTCAGCATTTGAAAACAAAAGCAGTTTAACAAGAAATCATTGAGAACAGGCACGTTGAGAAGTCAGACAATCTCTGGAACGTTTAGAAAATTAAATCTTCCTGTACCAGTCTGGGAGGTACATGGACATTATTCCCTGGAGCTGTGGCAAGTCACTAGTTTGTCACAGAAAAAAGCTGTGCCTAACAGGTTTTGTGTGCTAGTTTGGGTAAATAGTCATGGCCTTGAGGACACCCTGGTTCTTCCCTGTGCAGCAGGGCCTCAAGCTTTTCAACTCTTCTACTGTATGCTAGAATTTTTTTGTCAATGATACATTGATTTTTGACCCTTCATTTTTGTGTACATATGCAATTTGGTACACTTGGGAAGTTTACCTGAATTAATAAATTACTCATTTTCATATTTAATGTGGTTCATTACTGCCTTTACTCTCAAAAAGCAAATTGTGAAGAGAACCCAGCCTCCAGTCAGGGCACAGGAGCAGGTCATAAAACAATAAAGCCCAAACCTCTTGATAAAACTGCTTTTCCTTTCCAGGTGCTTTCTAACCTACCAGTCCTGCCAGAGTTTTGTGTACAGGAGGTGTTTGCTTCACGACAGCATTGCACGGCACCCGACCCCAGAAGGTAAAATCTTCCAGGACTGGAGCTTTTTATCTACAAAATGGCTTGAATTAATTTCACTGACTTTACTCTTTTAGGCAGTTCCTATGTGAATCTCTGCATTTCACAGTGTCCTGGCATTAGTGATGTGTTAATTGCAAATTAATAACTGCAGAAATTGAGGTATAAATCCCACATTTTAATGAAATCTGGGTAAACACATAATCTGTGCTGGAATGCTCCAGCAGTTAGTTTGATATTCAGGTTGAATATATCAGCATCCAGTTCTGCAAGAGGGATAAGGAAACAGGACTGTGTTATGTGAGGGATCTAATTTCAGTTTAGAAAATGAGAACACTGCAGTTGGGCCATGGTGATCCTTTACATTTTTTTTCCTATATAGCTATGAGCATGTAAGGATAAAGCATGGAGTGTTTCACCTTAATTTTGTCCCCTGCTGAGGTGGCATTCAAACTGGCATTACTTGAAATTTCAGGGCATAAACAGAGTTGGGTTTCACTGAATTCTCAGGATTCACTGTCCAGGATTCCTGTTGAGTTTGTGCATCTCAGGTGTCATTCCTCTGTTCATCTCCACCTCCAGTTTTAAACAACTTGTTTTCTTATTTGCAGACCCTGAATGGATCAAGAGGTTGTTGCAGGGACCTTGCACCTTCTGTGATTCTCCTGTGTTCTAGAGAAAAGCTGTGTCAAGACTGAAAGTATTTTCTCTACTGCATAAGCTCCCTTCAGCCTGGGAGGATACAGAGACAGGAACACAGACTCTGCTGGAGGGAGAGCACCTTGTCCACAGCCCTGTACATAGAACATCACAGGTTCTACCAACTCCTGAAATGCAGAGCCCATTCCATGCTCCAGAAACAGGAATACACCTGGAAGAGCCAGTTTAAAGCTGTTTGGAAATGCACCCAAGGAAGCCTCAGCAGCTGGACACTGACAAGGAACTGGAAGGGTTGAGCACAGTGGGAATTGTCCTTTGTGCCTGACAGCGGTGTCATCTCCCAAAAGCTGGGATGGGAACAGCAGAGCTGCCCCTTGAATGGTCTTGGTGGGTAGAGAAGGCTCCAGCTTGCAGTGCTCTCCTTTGCTTTTTAACCACCCTGGCATTTGCTGTAGAACATGGAACTCTCCAAACAATCCATGGTTCCAGTGTCTTGCCCAGGGAGGCAGATGCCAGTTGCAGCCATATGAGAGAAAATGAGAGAATTTGGCCATTACATGAATTTCACTGAACGTCTAGAAGAGTTACTGCCTCAGAAATGTAACAGTATTTCAGCCAGAAGAGGGATATTGGCTGCCTGGGATCAGTAAGGATAATTTTAAAATATAATAATAATAATTATTAAACTAATAGCAATTAGCTTAAACACTAATATATATACATATATATAAAATTTCCAATGCTCTTAAATCTCTTGACCCACTTCCTTTTTCTGAACTAAGTTCTAACTCCTTCCCAGCTTTTGCCAATGTGTTTGCTTTTGGTTTCACTTAACCCTCTACCAAGAGGATTCCTCTTTTCCAGAGAAACTCAAAAAGCATTACAAATTAACACTACTGTCAATTAAATTGAGAGTCTCCCTCATACAGCAGTTGAATTTTCCACAAATCTCACACACAAATAATCACTCCCAGCTAACAGTTTTTCCTTTCATAATAGCTCAGTAAAATACCCCAAACAAACAGAACACCCCAAACCCAACCCCATATGGCTGACGTGCTCTGGGTAGGGGCAAGGAGGCTGATGAGGCTCCCAGAAAGGTTTGGGTTGGAAGGGACCATAAAGCTCATCTCATTCCACCCCTGCCATGGGCAGGGACACCTTCCACTGTCCCAGGCTGCTCCAAGCCCTGTCCAGCCTGGCCTTGGGCACTTCCAGGGGTCCAGGGACAGCCACAGCTTCTCTGGGACACCTGTGCCCTCACAAGGAAGGATTTATTTCTAATATCCCATCCAACCTTTTTGAAGCCATTCCCTTTGATCCTGTCACTCCAGGTTCTTGTAGAAAGCCTCTCTCCATCTCAAGTTGCTGAGTCCAGAAGTTTATTTTGCCTTCTAATTGTCCTATCAGAAAAAACATCTTTTTTTTTGCCATCTGTTTTTACAGAGAGCAGAATCCTTTTCAACCTCCTATGCAGTGTTAAAGGAATAATACCTCCCAAATGTGTGTGGTTGCTTGGTACAGTTTGTCTTGTTAACTTCAATCCATGCTGTCAAATAATCCTGAGTTTGTGTATTTCCATTCTGCAGAGTACCAATCGCAGAGGTGTCGCCCTGTCTGTGATTCCTGACACTTCCACTGTGTGGGAAGTGCTCTACAGCTGTTGAGAAATCATGGAATTGTGCTGACAGTATCAGTCTCCCACCAGTGCATGTGTGATTGGTGCTTGTTTCCTCGAGTCAATGACTATGCATCTTTTGTTAATGTTCCTTCGCCTTTAATAGGAGCAAATTTTTTTTTTCAGCAAACATTAAAGAAGTCAGCTGTCCTTCTGCTCAGTGTCTCATGCATTAAGCATGATCATGCATTGACTGAGAAGAACATGACTGTAGTAGCCTAGAAACAGCAGAAGCACATTCATCTGTAAAATAATTAGCCTTGTTTGTAAATATCCTTGGAAGTGATACCATAATTGTATTAAAGAAGCATTTAGTTTTTTATTGCTGTGCATTGAAAATTGAAATTACTTCAGTGTGTCTGCAGAGAAGGGAAATGTAGCTTGTGTTGGTAACCAGTTAAACAAGGAGTAACCTCGATACCCAATGTGTGTGGAGTTTGGGGCCAGCTCTGGTACCTGGGACACAACTTCCCAGTGCTGGTGGGGCTTGGGGGAACAGCACATCCCTTTTCATATCAGCTCAGTAGAGCTTTATTCGTGGTGGTTGAGAAGGCATTTTAAATGGAAGCTGCAAGTCCTTTCACTGTCAGCTGTGACAGCTCATCAGTAAATGTTCCAGTTTAGAAATTCTCCTGCCTGTGGAGAAGGGGAGGGAGCCCTGCAGAACCCTGTCCCAGTGCTTGCAGAAAAAGTCAAAGAACATTTCTTTGTCCATGGCTTAGACACCATAAAAATATCCTGATCTATTGAAATGTTTAAGTCTGGCTGACCCAAAGGTTCACATGATAACAGATTAGATTGGTTCTTGCTGATTATTTCTGGCAGTTCTCTTGAATTTCCCTGGACTGAGTTTTAATGCTTTGCCATGGAGAAGCTCTAGCACACCTCACATTAACATTGCAGCATTAATGTTTCTTTTCCCTGTCTTCCAAGGCACTAGGTAGTCTGCCATTGATAGTTTATTTAACCTGCTTTCAGACTTCGGGGAAAATGGATTTTTAAAGCCAACAATGTTGTCTTTGTCTGCCAGTGGAGATCCTTTAGCAAAATCTTTCACTCTTCACCCTGACCTGTTCACAACAGGTACAGAGGAACTGGGATTTCATTTTTGTGTAAACCAGCACTTGTCCCTAAATGCATTTTTAGCCAGAACAGCAGAGCCCACCTCACACAGTAACATTTAACCCCTGGTGCTGACCTGAGTGGGTTTGGCTGCCCAGTGCGTGCTGAGGCTGCTCCAGGAATCCTTTTATGCCTCAGATTTGTGAGGGGCAGTTCTGGGCACACAGGGGTTGGTCCTGCTCTTGTCCTTCTCAGACCTTGCTGTCACCTCACAGGCAAGGGGAGCGAGGACTGAGCATCTGCTGCCAGACCCTTGTGCTATTTTGCCATTATCAGAGTTGCCTCCTCAAAACAACACATCTGTCAAGGCCCAGTCTGTTTTGAGACACCAACTGAACTGTTCAAATAACAGATCCCACAGAATTGGAGTTTATCTCCATATGTTTTTGACCAAGTTTTGCAGGATACTCCAAACAAGTGAATACTTGGAAGATGTCATCTGCTTCACTGGTGGTGAGTGCACTGGCTGTTCAAGGAACCTCATCTCCATAGGGAGAGCAACACTCCAGCAGATGCTGATGCTCTTTTTTTTTTTTTTTTTTTTCCCTTTTAAAGGATTATGATACTTGCAGCTGAGAATTAACAGGCAGAGATCCTGTTTGTCCAGAGCTAAGGTGTAATTTTCCTTGATGAGGAGCTTCTGACAGCATTTAAGGTTTGCTGCTCACGCTGGTATCACACTGGGAATTAATCCCTCCTCCAAGTTGGATGGATAAGTGGAACAGCTCTGGACTGTACAGTGTCTTAGTTCCTTGGTGCTAGATGCCATTCTTGGAACTAAGGAGAAAGTTTGGAGTCATAAGGACTCAGTCTTGTGTCTCCAAATTACAGCCCCTGCTCTGGGATTGGTGGTGAGGGACCTCATTGCTGCCTTTTTCTCAATTCACTTACGGCTCTGGGACTTCATCATTCAGTCACCCTTTCCTTTGGCGTTTCCTCATCCTCTTAATCCTATTGTGTATTTCTAGAAAGGAAACACTGTGGTTGTCAGTGCATACATAAAGACAGTAAATATTCCTCGGGAGAGAAGAGGAGAATGAGCCATTCCAGCTCCTCAGAGCCCTCACCACAGGGCAGGATGGGGTCAGCTCCATTCCCTGAGCAGCATCCAAACATCACAGGGAAAGGTGAGAGCAGGGAAATCCTTGGAGAGCTACAGGGAGTCCTTGCAGAGGTGCTGCTGGAGGAGGGATCTCCTGCCTGGGGGTGTTCAAGTGCCTTTCCACCACTGAAGGATCTGGTTCTGGAGCTGGTGGACACCAAACTTTGTGGAACAGTTGGACAAACCGACCTTGTTGCTAAACTACACAATTAACAGCATGACTGATGGGGTACAGCACAGCTCCAGGCAGCCTCTCCACAAAGTGTCTCTGGGAAGCAGAGTGATGGAAGATGTCCATTCCAGACCTGGGCAAAACTGTACAATCAGTAACATCTGATCCCTGCTGTGTTCCTACCACCTCCTCTTCACCTTGTTTTTCTCATTGCTCAACATTTGTTTTGCCAGAATAAGATGCTAATAAAATCATGCCTAGTTACCAAATTGGTTTTCAAGTGTTGCATTCCAATTATAAAAGCCTAATTCCTCCTTCCACCCACTGAACCTTTTTGGTATTAACAGGCTTTACTATGCAAAGTCATGCAGGGGCTGTTTCGTTTACAGTAATTAAATGAATGTCAATTGTTTTAGTTGTTTCTGAGGGAGAGTTCTACATGAGTATTAGCATGTTCTGCTAACCCTGACGTTCTGCACTTCAGGCCTGCTGCAAACCCTTGGGGGTTGACCACTGACCTGAGACTCCTACCCAGACATGCCAAGTGCATCTCAATGAGACTGAGCTCTTTTTCTCAGTTTCTATGGAACCAGCAGAGCGGAACTAATATAGCATCCGCATATAGATGAAAGAATGAAGAGGAAAAAGGGCTTTACAGCTAAATTAATTAAGCAGATGTACCTGTCTAATTAAAGATGCACTGTCCCTTTTGTACCGTAGCTGCAGTACAAACAGTATTTAAATACATTCTCTACCCATTTCATCTATCAAAATATTTAGTAGGAATGCTCAGATGAAGGTGATATTAGCAAGATGAGCTTCCCATGTATTATTAATAGAAGGGTTCCCAATTATGCATGAATGCTGCAGCACATCTTCATAGCAATGGCAGAAAAGCCAGCTGCCCAAGCAGTCACCAACCTGCACATTTGTAACAGGTAGGGCTGTAAAAATGTCCTTGTCCAGCTGAACACAAGGGTTTGTGGCTGGTCCCTGTGCCTGGGAGCAGCCTCTGCCTCAGCCTGGTGCTACAGGCTGGAATTTCTCAGCTCAAGAGGCACCAGGGACTCAGATTGCTTGGATTTGGCTTTCTTAGGTTTCAAAGACATTTATTCTGAGACTTTCAGAGCTGCCCTCAAGGCTAGAAAGTCCAATTCCCATCCATCAACACTCCTCCCTTCCCAAAAGTATCGAAAATTCTTTGAATTCTCACAAAATAACACAATATCCCCATTGCCACCTGGACAACCAGAGTCTTTCCACCTGAAGTTACACTACAGGAGCAAGAAGGAAATTTGGCCTGTACATTTTTCATTTCTCCATATAGATTTAGATACACAGAGCCAAAGACAACAACAAAGACCCAAATCTATTGAGAGCAACAGGACCAGAGGAGCCACCTAAACCCAAATGCCTGTTCTCTCTGCCTGCACCTTCCCTGAGGATTCCAGGAGGAACCTGAAGCTCCTGCCAGGGGGAATTCACACTCACACACAGGGGAGAAACAGAGGGAGACACAACAGAGGCATCCAACCCAGTTCTCTGAGCACAGCCCAGATCACCCCCCTCTCTTACAGGCATTAAGGATGTGCATTTCTACAGCCAGAGTCTGAGACAGCCAGCACGCTTTCAGCAGAGATTTTCCAGGTTAAAAGTTTTCATTGCTGCCATATCCAGCCAAAGAAGGGAAAAAAAGAAGAAACCCTGGACACCAACATGTCCAGGCACAGCCACAGGCTGGGAGCTGCTACCCCAGGAAAAGAGAATTTAGGGAGCCACCTGCTCCTGCAGCTCGTTATGTCCTTGATTGGGTTGGGGAAGTGATGGAGCTGCAATCAGTTTTCCATGGCTCTGGGGATCCTCTCCAGCTGTTCTGAGTCTCCCTGCCCAGCAGAATGGGGATGGCCACTGCATCTGCAGAGGGCTTGTCAGCACTTTTTAAACAATCTCAGTTACCAGGGGAGTGAAAACCTCTGCCCCCAACCTCAAACACTGTGGAGAAAGTTCCCTGCAGAGCTGGGAGCTTTGTTTTTCTCTTTGCTTTAGGGTTAGCTTGCAAGGACAGAGGGAAGCAGTGAGTGCCTGCCTGGTGGTTTTGGTGGAGAATTAAGACACAAACACATCTAACAGCTTTAATACTCCAAATTGTCTTCATGGATCTTACATAGTGAAGACAAAACTATTCAGAAACAAAAAAAAAGAACATTTGAATTAAACACAGGACTTCCCCAGCCATGGTGTTTCATATCTTGCATCATGAAACAAAAGCCAAAAAACTTTCCCCTAAAGCCCAATTTCTTACCCTCTGTACTTCACTCAGCCTTGGTGAGCTTCAGATTTAGCACAGCTTGGCTGACTTCCCCCTCCCTGGTGATAACCTGCCACTTCAGCAACCAGACTGCAAATATTACAGGGAAAAATTTAAAATCAACTCTTCCACAAATCAACCCTTTTAATTATAAACTTCTAATGTTTTTTATATGGAAGGGGCTTAATAATACAGCTTTCTATGAACTCAAATATAACATAAGGGTCTTGGTCAGCATTGACATAAAAGGCATCTTGGTAAAAATCCTCCAGGGCCTTGACATTGCTGTTATAGATGTTCAGGCGCTTCTCAATATTTTCTTCCTCATCTCTGGGGTTCTGCCTGAGCCGGGCCTGGATCTCTGGAGTGGGAGCTGGTCTGAATGTGATGTGGTATCTGGAGAGGAGAAGAAATGCCACTTTTTCTGCTCAGCCTGAGGACACAGCAGCCACCTCTGCAGATATTCCATGCTGTTACCTATCACAGCCCCTTGGCCTCTTTCTGCTCCAGGTCAGGGTTTTAGAACAAAATTTCAGGGCAGGTTATCTGTCATTGCTGCCCTCAAGAACTCTGGATGCTCAAAGGCCAAGGGTTTTTCTGGAGGGGACACTGGTAGTGTTTATCTGCTCCCCACAAGGAGAAATTTCTATTACATTACCCAGTGCTCCAGGTTCAGAAGCATTTCCAGATCTTTTACTTGTAATCTTTGATTCCTGTATTTTTAAAAGCATCTAAAAAAACCTAACCTTAAACATAAACACAGCCCTGTGTCCAGCATTGTTGGGACCTGTCACTTAAACTGCGTTTAAGGCTCTCAGGCATTTAATTGCTTTATGTAGTAGCAGAAGGTAAAAAGAGGTTAATTCACCTGAGATAGGGTTTGGTTATTTTTGATTTTCCAAATGCCAGAATTTGGCTTCCCTCAATTCACAGTTGTGGCTTCCCTCAGTTACTTCAGCAGAAAAGAGGATTTTCATCCTCAGAGTCCTGTAGCAGTGCCACAGCCCAGCTCAGCTGACACCAAAGGAATGCTGATGATGTTCCTGCATTGCCCAAGGCTCCCAACAACCTCTAAAAGTTCCTTTGCAAACAAGGGTTTAAATTCCCTGTTAGAATTGGTAATCCTAACTCTGAGTAAATATCTCCTCTGCCCTAACACAACACCAGCTCATCCTCTTCCTGTACAAATTTCCTGAAGTATTTTGGGATAGATGCAAAACCAAGGAGAGAGCAGAGTCTGTGTCTCTGCAGAGCTGCACCCAAGGATGTGGACACAGAGTTCATTCCACATGGGAATCATTTGGGGCACAGCTGAAGGCCACCCCCTGCCCTGCATGCCAAGGATTAGAAACAACACCTAAAAGAATTCAATTCACGGAGAATTTGTGAGCAATAAACCCCAGAGTGTGGGAGAGGGAAGCGTGTGAACTGGAGCAGATACTGAGCAGCCTAATCCTAATGATAAGAAATGCAAAGATGTGGGAATGATTTGCTTCAGCCTGCTCCTTTCTGCTGAACAACCACATTGCTCATTACTAAAGCAAAGAGAGCAGTTACAGCAAATCACTGCTGCTGTCACAAGTTAATGCTGCACCTCGAGTGAGATGTCTGAATAATCATCCATCACTTTGGGACAAATCCACTCTTTATGGCCTTCATCTTTGAGGGTTCAGGATTTGTCTTTGATGCAATAGATGCGCTCAGCCTTTAGAAAACCAAAATGAGGGTTTAAAATTTATATGTGGGGAATCATAAAACCAGGCCACAAGTGAAGTTGTGACCACAGGCCAACTCCAGCAGGTCTTTGGGAAGATAAATTTATTTGTGACCTGTTCCATGGAAATCAAGGGTGGAGAAGGCAGGAAAGCTGAAGGTCACTGGTGAGACAAGGGGCTGTGACACCACGGACATGAGCCAACCTTACAGTGACTCAGTGACTCAAAGGAGATTGCTCTAATGAGCAGGAAACACATTAATACCTCCCAGCAGACAGGACCATCACAGGAGCCTGGGGAAGTAAAATGCAGCAAGTTTTCCATTTTCCCCAGCTGGAAGCCTTCAAAATTCCCATGGGGATGTCTGAAAACCATCTGCATTTAAGCTAGGTTTCAGGCATCTTCTCTCAGCATTATTTTCCCAACCAATTGAGTTACCATTAAAATGTTAGAGCTGAGCTATTTGCTGCTGTAGATTTCAGGCACCAGGATTTAAAAGTCCCTGTTCTGAGGAGCTGCTGCAGCAGGAAGGTGGGCTGGTGCTTCAGGAGCTATGAAAGTTTTAACTTTGCTTTTAAGGAATCCCTAAGCAGGAGTAGAGCATTCCTGAGCTCCTTAGATTCCTAAGAAGCCGATTTGGTGCTTTCATCTCCCTGGCAGCCAGAAAAACGTTAGACATGAGGCAGGAGTGCTCACCTCTCCCCAGTGACAGGATCAGTCCTCCGCTGGGACAGGCGCTCCATGATGGACTCGTGGGGGAGATGAAAGAAGAACACCCTGTGGAGAACACAATTAAGTGCATGAACATCCTCAGAACATCACTTGTGACCTTCAGAGTGGGAGTTAATCCTCACCAAAGGAAGAGCAGTCGTGGCAGTGACAGTCCCCCCAAAACCTGCAGAGTCACAGAAGCGAGCACAGATTTCTGCCCAGACTCGCTACTTTAAATGCAGACAAACCCAATGGGAAGAAATGACCATGTCTGACTCAATTCAGAAGGCTGAATGATTTCTTTATTATAACTATGCTAAAATACATTAATATACTATATAAAAGGAGGATACTAAAACTACATACTACTTTCTCTGACTCTAACACAACTCGTGACCCTCTCTGAGAGTTCAGCCCCAGTTGGGTTGGATTGGCCACCAGGCTCAAACAATCCTCACCAGAATCCAGTCAGGCACTCATTCCAGGTAAACAATTCTCCAAACACATTCCACATAGGAAAAACAAGGAGCAGAAATAGAAATTGTTTTCTCTTCTATTTCTCTCTGTGCACCTCTATGAAAAATCCTGAGAGGGACAGAAATGTGCTTGCCTCAACTCGCCTCATGTTTTGTTTGGGCTGCAGGCTCAGCAAGGCAGGAGCTCTCTGGCACAGGACTGTGTGTGCTGGGTGCTCTGACAGCTCAGGGTGGGGGAATTGCAGCTGGAGCCTCTCTCAGTCTGTCCCAGCCTGCTCTGCCTCCAGCACTTCCCTCTGAACTTCTCCAGATCCACTTCCCAACCCGCCCAGCAAACAGAATCACAATGACATGACCCCAAAGGTAAAGAAAAACCTCTGCTGTTCCTGCCAAGGACAGAGAAAGAGCTTGTCTGCCAGAATTATGCATTTCTTTAGTGCCCATGAGAGGGATTTTCCTCTTGCTGTTTCAGTTCACTTCCACTGCTTTTGCCCCTTTCTTCCCCCAGAGCGAGTCCTCTGCTCTCCCTGCATCCTTCAAAGCAGGATGAGTGGTAGGACAGAACACAGGCCCCAGGATGCTGCTGACAATTCCCTGTCCCCTCCATCAGCACTGCCAGGCCACGGGGAGCAGCTCAGCACGGCTGGGCCTTGCTGGTGACACTGCTAAAAGGAAATATTAATGCTGAATGCTTCATTTGAAGATCAGAATCTGCAATTCCCATTGAATCTGAGTGAGAGCTGCACAGCATCTCAGAGGGGCAGCCCCACGGTGTCACTGGGGTAGGTCCCACACCAGGAACAGCTTTTCACTGGGGGCTGGAGCAGGGCTTGCCAACCCATCTCACAGAGATGCCACAAACCCCCTGACGTGGATGAAGGATGCAGAACCAGAAAACAACACACCCCACACACACCCAGACACATCCCACTGTTGCATATAAACTGCTGTGCCCACCCCACATTGATTCCTTGTCTTTTTGTTTCATTATAGTGCTCCTGTTAATTTTATATTTGTGTTCCAAAGCCCCTCAGCAGAAAATTCTCAACAAACTGCTGAGTGAGAGCAGAGATCAATCCCCTGTCCCCCAGCTATTGGAGACTGGAGCAGATCTGCACAAAGATCACATTTAACAATTAGCTCAGAACAAAATAAAAAATAAGGCTCCCTTTGAACCTATGAATATAATTTTTCCCAGCAAAGCACAAGCTGAAGGCTGTAAATACATCTTTCTTTACAACACACCTTCTCCTGCTGCTGCCTTCAAGGCCAGGCTTCCTGTTTTCATTTTTGTCTGCTTCTCACAGGAGATACTGCGTGGTTTAGACATTCACCAAAGGAACATTTTACACTGACTGGGTGGGATCAGACCAGATGAAAGGCTGAGCTTTACCTTGGCATGCACATAGCAGATTACTAGAATCCTTTGTAGGATTTAAAGTTATGAAAATCATCTCTCTTTTCAAATGTTTACAGATAATGACTTCTATTCACACTGTGGTAACAAAATAACAGCCAGGAATAAAACATTCAAGATCTTGGAGATTCCAAAGACAGGAAAAGAACAACAGTTTCAACACTCTTTTATCCCTTACACTCTTAACATTTTGTTTTCCTTTGTTTCTGTTGCCCAACAATGGCACAAAAACGTGATTGTCAGAACAGGTAACATCTGATGATATGTCTCAAGATGAATATTCTAGTAGAGAGGAACAACATTTATACAGTCATGATAATTGATACGGCTTCCTATTATATCCTGAGATAAACAAACCCACTGAAGGATTATAACCTGGCATATCAAGAAAGCTTGTCGTAATTCATAGTTAGGAACACAAAAAGTATTATGGTATTTGAAACAGAAGAGCCTAAAAAACTCCACTTAAAAAGCTGCCAACAAAATGAACTCTGAAAGCCTTGTCTGAGACTCCCTTCTTTTCCAAACGAGATGCTGCTTATTATCCAGTCTGGTGTCACCATTAAAGAGGAGTGGAGGGGAAGATGTGGGAGGGTGCAGACATCCCTGCTAATATGGATTTTTTTATTCCCCCACGTGCATTGTGTAACAGCACACATAGAATTCACTTTACAGCAGCACAAACTCCCAGTCCAAGGGTCCTTCCAGCGGAAGGTGGGATGCCTTCCCCTGCCACTCCACACATCTCCCACAGACAAGGGAAAACAACACTCCCCCAGGGCTGTCAGCTTAAAATCGTTCAGAAGCAGGAAAAAAAAAAAGATGAAGGGGAAAAACACTGACAGAACTGCAGTCTAGACTTAAAATACTTCCAATTAGAAAGCTTTATTACCATTTGGAGGGAGACACATACCCCACACAGTCTATTAGGCAGCCCCAGGAGGTTTGCTCACAGGAGTAAAGGCTGTTTACACGGCTGCAAGCTGGAGTTTTAGCCTTGGCTATCTGATCCATCTCCTGCAGCTCCTCAAGGTACTTGTGAGCAACATTTGCCCTCTGTCCCTTGCTCAGGCTCCTGTGACTCTGCTCACATAACAAAGCTGACCCTCCAACTGCCCAGGTAACACATTTGATGGATTTCTCTTGGAAATCCTCATAACACAGAGGGCTGCACCCATGACCTTGATCCAGCAGCAACTGGAACAACTCCCTGCAAGTTCTGGATTTCTCTCCAAGCAGAGCTTGGCCCCTTCCACACAGCAGGCGTGGTTTTCTCACATAAATGCATCCCCTGTAAAGCTCCCTTTAGGAATCAGCCAGGCTTTGTATGTTGTAATGTCACAACTCCTATCAAGGGGAAATATGAAACAGATGTCATCCGAATTGGTAGACAGGGAGGAGAGGAAACACAGCCTCATATCAAAGTACACGACATCACCCTGCTGGATTAGCATCCAGCACAGCTCCTCTGCCACAGCTCCCAGCCCAGCTGAGGAGGGGAGTGGTGTCAGTCAGCAGCAAGGGGAGGGGAGGGCTGGCCAGAGGGGCACCAGGAATCCTCACTCCTGTGCCACAGGCTCAGAATCCACCTGTGGGCAACCAAAAATCGCTGGCATCCAGTTGGAGACTGTGGGGGAAACTTGGTGCAGCCTCTGAGGTCTCTGAGGATAAACGTCCCCCTGACTCCCATTGAGCGAAACCAGAGATCCCTGAGCACAGCTCTGTCCTCTCTCCTTTGTTCCATCTCCCAGGAGAGGGATATGTGGGAAAAGGTCCAGTCCTGTCAGCTTTTATAGATGATAAAACTGTGAACACAAATGTTAAAAGGCACAAAAAAATCCGTGTGTCAGAATCCTGCCTCTTCCTCACTGTACTTGACATCATTTATCTAATCTAGTGCAGCTTCCAGATACATTAGAGAGATTAAATTCCAACAAATTAATAATGATGATGACACCTTCACTGTGTACCCAGTCAAATGAGAACTTGCTGCCTTTGGATGGTGATGAAATGTATTCCAGCCCTAGCAGCTGGAATGTAACTCTGTTTTCCTAGCAGCCATCTGGCATTCCAGAAGAGTATTCCAGCCACTTCTGGCTGCTGACTGTTCAGACAGTGTCATCTCAGAGCCTGGAGGTCACCAGGGCATCCTGATGCTTCCCCTGGTAAATGGAGGAGGAGAGAGAAGAGGGGGGTGGCAAGGGTGTTATTTCACCCTGGATTGTGAGACAGGATTTTTGGAAAAATGCGCCCCAACCACGCCATAAGTGAAGGATTTGTGACCTACACAACAGCATTCAGCTAATCCTGAGCTGCATTTGTTCCAGATGGCAACCAACCCACTTAATCCAAGTTATTAACAACTGGCAGTGCTCAGTGCTGTCCTCACAAGAATTTATTTGGTGGTGGTTTTCCTGTTTTCTGGATATAACCACATTGATTTCCAACACCTGGAAGGGAAAAAATTTTGAGTGTTGTTGTAAGAGAAGCAGGTGTGCCTGAATCCTGGAATCCTGTGCTGGGGAATAAGGAATGCTCCTGCTAAGGACAGTCCCTTTCCAGGATGGCCCCACCGCCCTGCCAGCTGCCGTCACATCTCCAGAGAGCTGCAGCTCTGCCTGGGAGCCAGGCCCTGTCATTTAAGCACAGCTGCTTCATGAGGCTGACCTAGATGGATCCAGATGTTGGCTGTTCTAGACCTGAGCCATTTACTCAGGTCAGATTCTCATCCTTGGCATTTCCCATTGCCTGGAGTTGCTCTGGATTGACACTGGGGGAGTGGAGCCCAAACCCTTTTTATAGAACAGTTGTCTGTGAAATCAGATCATACCATGAAATCAAATCCATACCTTGTTTTCATTTAAGGATGTAAAGACAACGCAACAGGATATCTGAGACAGGATCCTGATCCCTACCTGGCTTTTAAAACAGAGACTACTGACTTGCTTGTGGCTATACCAGGGTCAGGTTGAGCATTGCAACAAAGTTAGGATGCTTGAATTAAAACAAAAATACACCACCAGCCAATACTGGGCCACTTTTAATGCAGCTTTTAAACTTTTGAGTTGAAGCTGCAACTTTAAAAATAGTAAGTTATTAATCTTTCCCTTATTTTCTTGACTCCTATATATCTTCTCCGTCGCAGGCAGGTACCAGCTGCCATATTCCCATTC